CTCTCTCTCTCTCTCTCTCTCTCTCTCTCTCTCTCTCTCTCTGATCGATATCGACACACCTGTCCATACTGTCCAATTTTGATATGTTCCTTTCAATCGTATGCGCTGTCTCTCTTTACTTTTTCATCCTTGTTCTCTCGTCCGCAGCATCGCGTAAACGATTTTCCGAACCAGCCACAATCGTGTCGTCCCTCGAGATACTTAGCGATTAAGTTTTTATTTCGCGTGCAAAAAAGAGAAAAAGAAAAAAGAAAGAAAGAAAGGAAGAAAGAAAAAGTTTAACGAGAGGAAAGAAAGATCAAAAAAAAAAAAAGAAAGAAAGAAAAAGACAAAATGCATTGGAACGGTGAGTGAAAGGAAATTCAAAGCAATTGCGGAAAGTAAATCCACGAAAATAGGAACGCTCCCTCGCCACGGTATTCACGTATGTGCACCGATCATCCCTTCCCCACTCGCTCATCCTTTGAAAGTATTGGAATATTTTTCGAATCGGCTTTTTACCGAACTATTTTATCCAAAGACACGAAGAAGCAAAAAACAACGATCGAATTATAGAATTTTGAAAAATAAACCGGCGCACGATTCATGTTCACATAGAATTCGTAAAAATTCTGTGATCTTTACCATTTATGTTCCCTGTTTATAAGTGATATTTAACGAACGTGTTTATAAAGGAAAAAAATACACGGACACGGTTTTAGCATGTAATTACGCGTAAGTTTCCCGTGAATCATCGCCTGCCTGCGCACGCTACAAATGAAAAGGAAGAGAAAGACCGAAGAACAAGCAGAAGAAGAGGAAGAAGAAAAAGAAAAATACAAATGAACAAGAAGAATGTAAAATCTAGGTATCTCCGATCTACTAAGAGCCTCCGTTTCTTCATTTTTGTATGCTTCTTTAAGACTGTCTGATACAGGAAAAAAGGATAAATAAATGTGTACCAATCTCTGAATAAAAAAAAGAAAAGTCTTATTTTTCTCTAGTTTAGAAAATTTCCTAATTGTATAAAAAAAAAAAAAAAAAAAAGGAAATCAAAAAAAGAGAACAATTTATTTAATCCCCTGTTTCTTTTTACTTACTCTCGATTAATTTTCTAAAATGTTTTTTACAGCTTCTTCGTTTCCAATTATAGCTGCTACGTGTAAGATGGTTTGACCAATATTATCTGTAGCATTAACATCAGCTCCCAAATCTATTAATCGTTTCGTCACGATTAGATGACCTCCTTTAACAGATTCGTGAAGAGGAGTGGATCCTGTGGAATCTCGCGCATTCAGAAAATTCGAATCAAGCGCCAAAAGTCGGTCGACTAAACCTTCGTGTCCGTGAAATGCTAAAAAATTAGAGAATTCATAATTATAGATATTAAAATATTCTTCAATTTATATATATTAAAATACATAGCATAAAAATTATTACCAGCAATGTGTATAGCGCTTCGGCCATTATTGCTTCGATCATCGATGCATCTAGTAAACTGACTCACCAATAAATCGAACGCATCTTCATTGCCAGAACGACAAATCAAATGTAACGGTGTCCATCCGTCTTTATTTCGCAAAAATGGATTCGCTTTTGCTTTCAAAAGCGCGGCAACGCATTCGTATGCATCGTTTCCGGTTTTTGTACAAGCCAGCATGAGTGGTGTCCAATCAGCGCGCTTCAATGCGTCTATGGTTGCACCTAAAAGAAAATAATTTAGTGTTAGTAATATAAAAGAAAAGTAATATTGGACAGAGAGAAAAAAACACCTTTTTCAATTAAATACTTCACGATATCGTTACGAGCAAACTGTGCCGCCTCGTGTAATGGTCTTTTCATATCTTTATTGGCAACATCGACTTTAAAGTCTGGTTTCTCGAAAGTTTCATATAAATATCGAACGATATTTAAATGACCCGCACGAGTAGCAACATGCAAAGCGGTATCACCAGAAGACAAATGCCGGAAGAATGTCCAATCTTGAATATCATATTTGGATACAAGAGTTTCTACTCTTGATAAATCTCCACTTTGACAGGCGTGCAGAAATTTCTTCGATAGGTTAGGATCCGTCATATAAGTTTTTATTATCGAAGAAACGGAGTACACGTGAGATAAAAATAATAAAATGTTTTCATTCACAAAAATGTGAAGATTTTTAATAAAAAAAATTCTGAAAAACACTAAACACTCGAGAACACTGTAGAAATGATAGAGATTACCATCTCGTAGAGAACAACAGAAGTATAAAAGCTTGAAACAACGCCATCTACCGTCGGTATAAGTAGACGTTCAATGGCGCGAATCGATTTTATTTGCAAATAAAGTTAATTTAAAATATTTTATAATATAAAAATAATATTGAATTTTAGAAATATAAACATTAGAATTTTTTTTAATATTAAAACGCAAATTAAATTTCTATCCTTCGTATAATATAAATGAATTTTTTACAATATAACGATTTTATATAATAAAATAATTTTAAATAAAATTTTATAATAAAAATCGCCAAGGAAAACTTATAACGATAAATAATATTTATTTTCGAATGAACTTACGTAAGATAAGAAAATAATGAGAAATTATAAAGGATCGAGTAATGCTAAATCATCCAAGCATAAAACCGTTTTGAATGTAAAATTAATCGTGCGAAATTTAGAATTGACACGAATAATAAAAATCTCTGTAATT